TGTGTTTTCCCCGTTCTTCTTTATTGTTCCCCGGTGATTTTGCTGGTCTACTAAAGAAAGACTTCAAAATTCTTCGTCGCAGTTTGTCGATCATCAATCGTGTGTCTTTTATACCCGTTGATGAGCTGTCTAAAAAACTGTGTGAAATATTTGCCCAGAAAATCCTCGCTAACCCCAACCATCCTTTACATGGCGATTTATCTAAATGCTCCTTTTATACTTCTACACGTTCTTCTTAGCGATTATTACCCTCTCGCATTAGTCTCTACAAAATTTCCCAGTTTTCCATCTTGCCAGAGACCTTGTAAACCGAGAGCGCGCTTCCTCAGAATTTCTCAGTAACCTTAAAGGCTAAATATTTTAATTGTATCTTTCCTTTTGTTGATGAGATGTGTAATTTTTGACTGAGATGCGAACATTCTGTTCTCGCAAAAGTCTATACAAATACAAATACAAAGCTAAACATTTTCATCTAGTAAATAGGTTTGGGTCGAGAAAAGATGTCCGACCACACAGACCAAACATTTCTATGTATGGGTATATTTCTTAGTTACGTCAAGTTTTTTCATTCCAAATTCTGCATTATTTGGCATTATTTTGGGACTTAAATATGTTTTCATTATTTTTGTAGGCTATCTGCCATGCATTGGAACGCGAAGGACGGTGGATGATCACTACTCATGGCTTACATACTTTGAAGTAAGTTATCCACATGTTTACCTTAACCATGTGTTTGCGTTCTTCCCTTCAGATCAATATGATGGTTGGGGCCTTCGGTTCTGGGCTCGTGAAGCTCGCAGGCTATCGGCAAAACGAAGACTCATTTGTTGGAATAACTGGGAAGAATTCAGTCGAAGTAAGTTTCAAAGTGCCGGGAACGATGTTCGTTATTGTATTTACTTTTTGTAGCATTTTCGCTCAATCTCTCTTAATTAAACCTGGTGAAAGATACGCTATTAAGTGAGCGGTAAATAGGTATTTATTTATTATTTATTGTAGGAATTAAAGTGTAGATATTCAGGTCTAAACGTGATCTATTTCAAGGTTGCTTTAAAAAACGCCATTGAGAGATTTGATCAGTGCGTAAGCAGTAACGGATTCAAAATTCAAAACAGTATTCGTCTAAATGGATGTATTAATAATATTGATTACGATAAATTTGAATGTCATCCGCATGACTCACTACTGTAACTCGAGTGGTACCCCACCAAAACAATAGCAATATCACAGTTCAATTCACATTCAATTTTAACTACTGGTGTGGGATATATGTTACTGATTTGGATTGATTAACGTTCAGGTTTTAATTTACTGCACAATTCTTGGTGCTTCCCAAGTTAATGCTTGACTAAGTGAACTGCTTATTGTGCTTGAGGATTTAGTCTGAAAGATGATCAGGTTAACTCCATGACATTATTGATAAAAAAACCTGTCAAGTTTGAAAGATAAAGATGATAAACAGAGAAGCCGTATTATGCCCTTAGACACCCACAGTCTATTGCATAACTAACACGTTCGATGAAATATCGGTATCAACTCGTTAACCAAGACCTTCATGTGGATAATCAATCACAAAGACGACGAAAATAGGAATGTATGCGAATCCGTAAGAGACTGCCTATAATCGACAGGCTCTACGAGCCCCAAACTCTCCAGGAAAAGTGACTGTTATCATTGATCTAAACTGTGTTTGCAAACAGAACGATCTATGCTGAATGACAGCCAATCATTGCACAATCGTACAGGCTTGGAAGAAACAGACAGAAAAATGTAGGTGACAAACAAATGAGATGATAGTGAGCAAACAAAAGGGCATACAATATCCTCAGTGAATTGAGCCAAACAATATGCATTGTAAAGTGCAAAACTGATCACACGACAAACGCGTGACATGGGTCAAGTTTATGGGCGTCAAGAGGAACACCTAAACTTGAGATAAAACAAGACCAATGCTGCAAGGTTGAATGTCTAAGTTAGGTTATAGCACACGGTTTAATCAACTGCACTGTTCAGAAAAGGAGAAAAATATCAATGATGAAGGATTTGAGGCATCTAAAAAAGCAAACGAATACATCATTTATGGGAACTCACTGATTGGTTTCACATGATCCAGTCGCTTTTGTAGAATATTGCTCCTTCGTTTGATTTTTTTCCTCACCACTAACTCCGCGAATGGCTCGAAACGATTACGTTCCTCGTACGATAGTGAATCCAGAACGTGAGTGGCTTTGGCAAAGTTTCTACGTAGTTTCTCGATATGTCTGACCATTGTGTCTTTTTCGTTAAGGGCTTGGCGTTTGAGGGTTTGGTGTGTGATACAGATTAGATTCTTTCTCAGAGTCTTAAAATACAGTTGGCGGAACTGGGATTTTTCAGTACATTCCGTGATGAACTCACCATACGTTTCTGCCACTGCGAACTTCGTAAGAAGTTTAAAATACTTGTTAAGTTCACGTAATACGATAGGGTCCTTTACTTGTTTAAATTCCCAGCGGCAAACGCATTGAATGAAAGCACAGTTTATCGAACAAACCTAATTTCGGTTACTCGGCAACTGGCTTATATGTCACATTTTATACGGAAAAAATTGATAAATATAGAATTGGGGATTTTTTCATATGAGTTTTGTTGTTGTTTTCTGTCTCAGTTTCACAAAACCGGAAATGGCTGATTCATCCATCGGATCTTACGCTTGGTACATGTTACTCATATGATTTGGGGTGGGATCGCGAGAAGGAGGATGAGAATAGGAGGTGGGGAGCCCTGGCAGGTTGTGTGGTTTAACAAATTGTTTTTTGGGCGCACAAGGGGGGATTTAGTAGGCTAATTCCAACCGTCTCTGCAATGGCTAGGATGCGGCTTTTAATTGGCTTTGATCTGCGAACCCGAACATGGTAGAGAGGCCAAAACGCTTCAGTCACACTGTGGGATCGGACTAGGCGAATTGTGAAACGATTTCACTTGTAATAGTTTTAATCACACCAGCGTTCAGCCAAGCCAGATGATGTTCCCGAATTCATGTAGGTAGGTGCCTGCGCGAATGGCCGATATACGTTGCTCCACAAAAGGACGTCAACAGGTAGACGAAAAATGAGACTGCTGAAGCAGGAATCCTGTTGTTGAGTTGCGAACACAAGATCCGTCCAGAGGTGAATACGACACGTAATCTTGC